CATTTACACACTAGCTGCACTCTATTGTGAGCATTAGACCCCGGAGTATTGCAGATCGGTGGACAGGGCACCATGTTCTGATTGCTGGAGCTGACTGTAAAATCGATGGCCTTTGTTACTCTCTCAGCTACTGATGATCCTCCACCTGCTTGGAGAGCTCGGGTGTTTATAAAGACAGTCTGGTTTGATGACTTACAAATACACTTGAGATGAGGACGGAGAATATGGGAGAGCATAAGAGAGAGATATAATTTTCAAGTTGTATTCCCTTTATGTTTCAATCCTCTCTACTTGCACCTGTCTCAGTTTCTACTCTAGCTCTATTCATTTGTCTGCTTTTTTCTTCTTCATATGCTACTTCAAATCCTTAAGTCAAGTCAAGGTCAGAGGATGTGGCCCACTTCAGTTAAAAGCTGCCCTAACTGGTAAAGACTGATTCATTTGCAAGTGCAGAACAACACGCACACACAAACATGCTGCAGTGGGAGATGATATGCCGCTGCTTCCCCTTCAAGGTCTCCCATCTTTAGCCCCTGCATCCAGGGATGAGAGGCTAAGTGTTGAGGTTTTGGTGCCGAGAGCAGAGCGGGACCATTTCTCATGTTGTCAAAGCCCCCGCTGGGCCTCCCATATGCCGGCAGCTCTCAGCATCCAGAAGCCATCACTTCAGCAGGCGGGCCAATCAAACCCTCGCTGTCACTTCAATAAAATGACTTGGACTGTCACTCACACGGGGGCATTTTCCCCACTGGGGGGCTTCCTCTGAGGCCAGGAAGGTGCATATATGAACTGTGCATACAAACGCTGCATGTGAAAAGCAAATGTAGTTTCTGTTACAATACAAATCACATACTTACATATTAATAGCAATACAAGGAGTATACAAGTGTCTCTATGAAAATAAAGAAACATATCTCATGAATAACTATTGGGGTCAGGGAAAACCAGCACAGAATTGGTCATGTTTCAGTAACTTCATTGACTTGCTGACCCCTGACCTGCCTGAAAGGCGCCTAAAGACCCATGAGGACAGGTCTAATTATTGTCACTTCAACGGTTCACCCACTCTCTAAATCTTCCATACAATTCACACACAAAATCCACCCTGAATCACTCAAACAAATGTACATACAAATGTGCATTTCCCTTTAACTTACAATGTTGTACTCCTGCATATATCTAGTAGAGGTTCTGTCAGAGACAGTGGAGTTTGGTGAAGATAAAGTCCACCAACTTATTCAGAGACAAATCCCAGACAGAATATACAACATAAACATAAAATGTCTGTGTTGGTGTGAGTCCATGTGTTAGTATCTGCTCAAGGCCTTTGCACTCTTGTTATATTGCTGGACCCAAGATTGACAAATTTGATGCAGCAGAACCAGAGATATATATTTTTTATTCTAGGCTCATCAAAACTTGCTGCCTAAATTCCCGCAAAAATACGAGTGTGAACAAGGCTACACAGATTTTCTTTGTGCACCTCCCTCAGGAGCCACAACAGTCTTTATATGACTTCTCTGTCATGTGCACCAGTACTCCCCGAGACATGTAAACAGACTTTAGAATGTAACATGTGGTGTGCCCCCTTAACATAATGCAATGATGCAGAAAGAAATCCATCAGAATTTAGTCAGGTATTCTTATTTTTCCACTTAGCCCCAAAGGACGTGTGTGCTACCATAAGATGAGTTGCATTATGAGTAGAAGTTGTGACTCATGCTCCAATAGCAGAGCGAGACGACTCCTGAAAGCACTGAACATCAGACATTGATGACACACAACACTGTGAGAGCATCCATGAATAGAAACCTCCTTTAAAACTCTCATCACCTCCTGGACTGAGCGCTACAGGGAAAGATAAAACAAGATCAAGAAAAGTGTCTAGCAAGACTAAAACAAAGAAGAAGAAAACAAATAGTTTAGGAGGGATAACACGCCCCACAGTTCCTGTTTCCTGGAATAAATAAAAGCCACACACATTCATCGACTACTGCATAAAAGTGGTATAGAACTTTACACCAGTGGGACGAGGTATAAAATGCAGTCAGATGAGAACCAATAAATATGAAATAATATATTATACACTTAGTGGTAGTAGTAGCCATTCTTCTCGTTCTCACAGGAGTCTTTACTCAGATGACGCAGACTAATAGGCGCAGAGGTAATGAAAAATAAAAAAGTCAGTTTGACTACACATTTGTCATTTTAGGTGAGGTATTTGTTGAGCTAATAGAGCAGTGGGTTATTTGTCTCTGCTGCTGTGTGTGAGAGAGAGAGAGAGAAGGTAGAAATGGGCTGAGCGGGAGCTGGAGAGCTGCCACCTCCATCCCTCTGGCCCATGAGGGATGAACAAAGAGACGGGAGGCTCAGGAGATCCATCCATCATCATGTCTCGTTGCCTCACACACTTTGCTTTTGCATGCAAGTGCACAGACACACAAACACACATACAGTTAGCTCAGATGGAAGCCCACTGCTGCTTAAACCGAACACCAAAGCAAACACTTGAGGAAGCCCTTGTTTGTCTGAGAGGCTGACGGTGCAGATGTGGAGTTGGTGGGAAGTGGACCCTCAGTCCAACCTTTTAATTAAGCCCCCCATTCACTCCCCCTCCCCCTGCACAACCACTTCAAACAGACCTGCGTTCGCTGCCCACTGCTTGGGAACCCCTGAAGCCTCAACACATAAAAGCTGAAACCAATGGCAAGTGGACATTTCAAGGTCAATCACTGACTGCGGGTTACATATGCTATAATTATGCTCGTCTACTACAAAAAAACACACTGCTTTTATCTTCTTATTGTCCATCAATCTTTCACAGCCCTGATTTAAGGGTGTGGCCAGATCCCACTCTATAGTCACAGCCTGTAAGCCTAACCTCATGTAATTAGCCCTGATCAAGCTTGGGGCCCTGTTTAGCGCCGATTAGCCCCGCTTCCCATGCATTGCCAACGCCCCCACCTCAGATCCTGCAGATAAAAAAAGAGAGGAAGAATGTCACCCACTCCCAGAGGGACAGGCCTATAATCAGCCCTCCCACAGCCCCACAGCCTGTCTCCTGCCTGGGGGCCCGGCAGGGGGTCATGAGCGGATGGGTGAAGTCAGACAAGGTTCAGCCCCCACCACCAGCCCTTTTTCATCCTCAAGTCAATACTGAATAGGAACAGAGCCCTGCCCCTTTTCACAACAACACACTGAATAATAATGGCCGTCGTCAAATAACGACAGTTATTATCTAGTACTGTGAAGAAGCCGATGCAGCCGCAGAGCTCCCCTGTGACCCACCAAGCGGCTTTTAAGAGGACATAATGGCCAAGCTGGAATCATCAGAAGGCAAAGGCCAGAGCAGTTAGAGCTCCAATTGACAGGAGAGCTGCACTTTTATGAGCTGACGAAAAGGCAGAAAGAGCACGAACATGATGAACCTGAATGTTGAAGGCTGCATCCATCGGATTTGGAAGTGGCGTTGGAAGTAAATATCTGGAGAAATGCTAATGTGGCACCATTTGCATGAGTCATTGGCCCATGCACCGAAGCCATTTTAAGAGCAAAGAGATGTCAAAGCACCCCACAATCTCACTTAAAAGATCAATCACATCGGAAGGTCTGGTGTACCTGTGTGTGAGGGTGTGAGTATATAACCATTAAATCCAATTCAGTAAAGAAGACTGACGGCATATTCCCTTTAGATATTTGTAATCTCATCCTTTTCCCTTTCGTATTCTCTTACGTCTTCGATTGCTTCATCTCTGAAATATAAGTAAGGACTCAAAGCGTATAGTCCACTCAGAAAAAAACATTGGTATGCATGAAAGGAAGACAAGATTTAGCCATGACTATAAATCAGTGTTTCATATAAAGCACAATGGCGCAGGTTCATCCCTCCGCTCAGCCCACACAGAAAAATGTACACCTTTATTATCTGATATTATGAGTGATGAGATGGAGTTCATTATGGAAATGAAGTGAAGTTCTCTATTCTAGATTTAATGGGTTCTGCCCCCCCCCCTATTGGCAGCTATATTGATATCAAATTCAAGCGAAAAGTATCAAATATAATGTATTCCTCCCTTTAAAAAATAAACTCACTAATTTAATACATAATTTTATGTAATTTTATTAAACGAAAGATCAAGTTATTTTCTGAAGACTCTCTGGTACAATAAGTGTGCATTTATTACTCTGAAGCATGTCTGACTCTTTGTTTTATAAAGCAGATATGAAGTATATTCTAAAAAATGTATATCCTCTGCACAGTCACCCTAACACTGTCTATGAAACGAATTCTGGTTCACAAATAGCAAATACTTTCAACACAATCAATTCTTAACGAAAGGTCAGGTTTCATAGGCCTATCTTTTCAAACAGGATGCATTCGATACTTCCAGATCAGACATTATCAATATTAATTTGCCCAAGAATGTGCTTTGTTTTCCCAATATGAGACAAAAGTTCGCGCTATGGAGGAATGAGGAAGAGGCTGATGTGTCCGTAACTCCGCACCGGTAAGAAGACACACATTTGGATTTGGGGATCTATTTGGAGCTTTATATAACTTGATCTATACAGTAGAAATAATGCCGGCACAATTATAGAGTCGGGACCAAGGCTATTAATAAATTCCACACACAATTCAATCATAAAACGACTCTCTTTTAACAATGCCAATGCGCGTCTGATTACACTTCCTCAGAAAGAATCCTCCGCATTTCTGATATTCCTGACAGCAACTTCTGTTCCTCTCAATAATGTGTTTTGACTGTCAGATACTTTACGTGTTTTGAGTGACAGAATAAGATACTCAAATATAATTTAGTTTATCATAGTGCCGCTGCATTATTTCTCTGACATCCACATGGACCTACGCCATGCTATTTCTGCTAGAACATGTGTCGTTCAAGTTACTACAGTCGGCGCAGCCACAGCATCACCGGTAAATAGTGAAGTACTGAAGGTGTCCGGTAAATAGCGAAGTAGTTAAGGTGTTCAACACTCACCGATCAACATCGTGCGTCCGGGACCGTATACGAGTCTCTCCAGCTCGCAGAGTCACCGTGCGTAAAAAACGGTAAATATTTTACGCACTTTTATCCCCGGAGAGGGAGGACAGGTGCGAACCAGACGCGTCCTATAGTTGTTAAGAGCAGAATCAGCCCCGACAGATTCCAATTGATTTGTTCGCCTCTATTGTCTCTGTAATGACAACTTATGTATCCTCTTTTTCTCAGTCTTTTGGTGACAAATCCCCGATAAATCTCAGATCCTACTGATGCGCGGTATCCTCAGTTAAATCCTATCGCTCGTGCTGCTGCTCCGCTTGGCCTGAAGGAGGCGAGGAATGGGGCTGTAGGAGAGAGGCTGGGTATACTGCCTGTGTCTTCTCTCTCTCTCTCTCCCCTTCTCTCTCCGACTCCTCTATCCCTGTCATCCTTTTTCTCTCTGTAGTCCTACCTCGTTCTCTCTCCTTCTATCACTGAGCACCTTTCCACTTGACAAGAATGCACAGATGGGGAAATAAGCTGCCATTATCCACAGTCATAACTACTTGGCACCACATTAGCCCTCTTGTCAAACTTACTGTCTTACAGGTCAGCATCAAATGTCTGAGACATACATATGCCCTGCCATGGCAGAGAGTGAATAAGAAGAAACACCAGGTGTGGTGGAAAGTCTCTGACAGGCTTCAGGTGGCAGAAGCATGATAGGAGCACTGTTAACATTAAGGAAAAGAAAAGGAGTATTTTCTGACACAGGTTTCCATTTGTGCTCTCATAAGGATGATTTGCTAGCACTTGTCAAGGCAGCTGCCTCGTGTGCACGGCAGTGTGAGTAAGAGCGACGGGAGAGTGACTGCAAGTGATGGTTTCTCACAGCCATCCCTCTTGCCAGTTTGCTCTCCTTTGTGTCTCTTCTTGTCAATGCATAATTTGGTGAAGCTGACACATATTCGGGGATTCGGAATTGGCTCGAGAGCACAGAGAGCCGGCTTGTATTAAATTTGAGTTTGTTCAAATGGCGTGTGTGTGTGTGTGTGTAAGCATAGATAGTGGGTTGAAGAGCCTTGGTGCAACGCTAAGCTGTCCTGGAGCCAAGCCAAAGCACATCTCCCAGGGTGCTATCAGGAACTTAATTACAGCATTAAATTGTTCCCTCTCTGCTGCTCGCCCGCTCTTAGTTCACTTCCCCTTTTTTACCCTTTTTTCCCCCTTCCTTCTCTAACTCCTTCTCCTCAAACAGTCTATCCATATCATGTTACACTTGCCTCTCTCTACGTCTTCCTCTGCCTTTATCTCTTGTTGCTCTTTTCCCCCTCTCCTGCACTCGCCAGTTTGGCACAAATGTACGCTGGAGCTGCAGTGTTCGTGCCGTCATCGTGGGAAAAGGCCTGTGTCTTGATCGTTCTTCCCTCTGTGCACCTAGAAATAATAAGAGCTCTTCCGCTGTCCTTACTGTGCATTTATATTTTGTATTTTCAAACTTGCATATCAATAGCCCACTCATGATGCTGCAGTCAGTTTGTTATGCTGTAGTGAATGCGCTGTTTTACAGGGTTACACTGCAAGTGTGAATGTGGAGCGTGGCAGCAGTGACGAGATCAGATTGCTGATGGAGAGTTCCCTTTAAGCATGAAATATTGCCTCTGACAGAGTGTTATGCAGGGTGAGAGCTACCTTTCCCCTCTGATCCAGGTTTCTGTTTCTCGCCATTCAGCGAGGCAGCAGTGGACCCAGAAAGTACCCCCCGAGGCAGAGAAGAGGACACGGGGGCAGCTGGGCTGTCCTGCTGCCTCATGCCAACCATCGGTCTGCTGGCTGGCATGCCAGAGCTGGGGCTAATTAGAAACATGGGAAGGGCTCCAAGCTTTTACATCAGTCAGCCTCAGCAATGATTTCTTTGAACCGTTTTGTACGATATATTAAAACTCCACTGGAGTAAGAAAATATGGTCACATCTCTCAGTGGTAAATTCTACCTCTGCAATATTGTTCATTTTACAAACCTCTACTAGAAAAAACATGGTTATACTACTTATTTGCAACAGGTGTCAAAGCATAATGCCTCTGGTTACAACAATCTGTGTAGTCTAATCTAGAAACGTGTTGCAGAGGAACATTATCCTGGCATTAATGTAGTATTAAGTTATAAAATGATATTCTTTGAAAAATAACCAAGCCAGGGGTTTTGCAAAGTGGGAGGCGGGCCTGGTGCTCCGAGGGGGGGGCTTTTTCCAGGCTTTCCAAACCATGTACTAAGGCAAGTTATTGGAAAACATGTCAATCACAGAGCTAGCTCACCTCACTGCAGATATCTTTTAAGACCTAATACTAAATGAATAGATTTTTCGACCTGAAAAACATAAAGTCACTTACAGTGCTTATCCAGAGTTTAGTCACTCTATTGGTCACACAGTTCAGGCAGCTGAGAGACGGCCATAATTTGACACCCTTTGAAAATATGTCATGGTTAAAATGACTAACATATTCGCCCTTTTTCCAGTTGCTACATTGCAAGTGATACTAATGCATTTCAGGTCAGTAGAGATGATCCCAAGCATGATTGTGTCTCTTCATGAGTTGAATGTGCTGTTAACACCAGTGGTGGACGTGCTTATGGTATTTACTGAGTTGCCGAGAGCCGAGTATCTAATGGTGATGATTGACGGACCCTGGAGAGAAGAGAAGGTCAATCTGTCACACTCAAGTCTAACCAAATTGTGTTGTCTTTTTACAGCTCTGCACTTTTCTGCTCAGCTAAAGCCACTTTTATTTCTGCAAATACTAAAAGGTTTCAATGCTGGATTTCTATACGAGAAGTGAAAGATTTATCAGACATTTTGGCGGTGCATCGAGGTCTGTTTACATGGTGTGTGTGATTTTGAGGATGGGAAGGTGGGTGGAAACTACAGAAGAGGTGAGCGACTTGTGATTATCATGCAGAGTGTGTTCGCTGTTGCATGCCGGCACTGTCACAGCAGCGGGCCGGGTTGGTTCGGGGTGAATAAGCAGTGGGGTTGGTGTGGGTATAAATGGTTGGGAAAAAGTGGCGGGGGGGGGGGGGGGGGACATTGGGTGCTACCTGAAGGCATGACAGCGAGGGCAAGAGACATGAGAGGAGGAAGTAAGTGGAAGCGTGAAATATGGAGATAGCTGTTGTCACCTGTGAAGATGACGGCGCCGTGCAAGTCTAATACCATGTGACATTTTTTTAGCGGGGGCATCTGCATCCCTACAACATCCACCCACACACCTCCCTCTTTTCTCCCCACATATCCCGGCATTCATTGGTCATTAACAGACGGCAAAAAATACCCAGCAACCCTCTCCCTGGTGCTGATGTGAAGTTTATCTAGCTGTCTCTCAGGAGCAGCATGATCAATAGCTGTCATGGTGTGACAGCCTCGTAATGTCCAACGTTTTGTTTTCCAATACACAGAGGGAAAGCAAGAACATGATGAGAGTGACACAGCTGTTTTTGATGAGCTGGTGCACATATAAGAATGTGGGAATGTGGCTTTAGGAGTTGTGTGGTTTTCTAAACAAGACACTTGCTGCTGCCACTCTGATTTAATAGATATTGATGCAATGCTGAAGAACATATTCATTATTCTGCTGTATTCTCATTGTAAAGGGATCATTGTAAAGTTCACAGCGTACGTGTTTGGTGTTCACTTTAAACACAACAAATAATCAGCATAGCCAGGCATTATGAGCGTTTGCTTTATGTTTGACAAATTCAAATGAGTTTGGAAATTGTGTTTTCTGATCCCAACCACATGCCAGGATGTAATGAGTGACAGGCTAATTTATGTACCATCAAAGAGGAAAGCTAGCCCTGCCTCTTTGTCTGCTGTTCCGAGCCAGCGGCCTCCTCAATTAGAGCCGGCGCTGCCAACCTGCCTCTGAGGCCGGCTAGGTAATGACTGGCAGCCGCACACGAGCCAAATAGCCATCTATCACTCCCTCTCTCTCTGTCTCTAAAACCAACAGTTTTTCTTTCTCACTCTCCACACAAAAAGCTTTCACTCTTCCTCTCTCTCTAGCGCAAATCACATTTTCTGTCTAGAGTAAACTCTGGTCATTTTAACTTCTCTTTCTCACATTCTTATTTTTTCTAAATCTGACAGTAAGCTCTGCCTCCCTAAATTGACATCGCACTGTCTCCCTCTCTCTCAGTCCCTCAAGCTATTTGCTTATTCATTGGCATATTTTTTCCACTTCACTATGTCTCACTAGAGCAAAATCTCTCTATATCTCTCCATACTTCTCCTTTCCTCTTTCTCTGACAAACAATCCACTGAATTGAAGGGCATTAGGAAGGAACGCCCTGGATTCCTAACTGCTTGCCCGGGTACCTGACTGACAGAGAGACTAACTAACTGTGTGACAGAAAGACTGACAGGAGGCTGGAGGAGGACTGCGCGTGTTGACAGTGAGCAGCCAAAGTAATTTAAGATGGGTGGACACGAAAGACAGATGCTGATGGGTGACAGTGCACGATGCCCTGTTGTATGACAGCACCCGAAGGCAACTCTCACTGTGTGTGCTCTAGGTGATAAGCTAGTTGGTCGACCTGCACATAAGAATATTATTCGTGTGTCACTGAAAGATTGCTCACATGTTCTTCCTATTCACCTGTAATATCTTCCCATTACTTTGTTGTTTACATTATCTAAACCCAATATGTAGAAAAGTATTTGTCATGCTACAAAAGGAACATATTTGATAGTGGTGGATAAATAGAGAGTTGACCCTAAAGCCTTGTTATGTCTATATTTTTTGTTGGAGAAAAAAACTAAAATGGCTCATTAATAAAAACAGCTCATTTGTAAGAACATCACTTCGGTTGCCAGGTTTTAAAAAATCCATTTGGCTGATGTACTCCATTATTTAATTCACCACTAGCAT